CACTCTACATTCTTTTTCATTGACGCATCGTTAATCATCCATGACGCCAGATATATCGGAGCTCAAAACTATTTGACTCATGTCAAACTCACAGATTTTTCGAGGAAATGTAGCCTTAGCTATATAGGGCCATTCTGACATTTGTATTCGCATACCCTGGTTAACCTCCCTGCCTTCCCTCATTTTATTCTCTCTCTCTCTTGTATTCGTATAGTAGCAGTCGTAGCAGAATATGAAGTGATATGAGCATTTTCGTTGTTCATTGGTTTAGAATGAGGGGAGGTCACCATGGTTCACTTTTCAGGGGAGCTAGTTGATCGCGCCCGCAAACTTCTAAATTCATGTAAGATAATTTCCAAGCTATGTATCTCGGCAGTCAAATTTTGTGTCAGTACCCTTTTAAAGAAATAATGGCGTAATAGAAAGGTATGTAAGTCGTGTTGATATGCTTACGTAATATATCATCACTCCATAAACGTGAAATTGAACTAGAGAAGTAAAAAAAAAAAAACGCCAGGCTTGCGCGGTAGGCGCAGCACAGTCACAGCGAAAGCTATAAGAGTGGCCTTTCAGGGCCTTTTCAAAACATTCAAATGCTGGGATAAGGGAGAAATACCGCAATCTTGGAAAACAGCCAATGTAGTCTTCATTCCTAAGCCAGGAAAAAAGCTCAGTTTTGAACATCTCAGACCCATTTCCATCACATCTTGCGTAGGAAAATTGATGGAGCACGTCATCCAAACAAGACTGACTAGGTTCATGGAAAATGAAAACCTGCACCCTGATACTATGATATGCTTCAGATCCCACTTATTGACGTGCGATATTATGCTACAGCTAAAGGAGGAGATAATAGACAAAAAGACTGTTGACACCAAAGTAATTGTGGGTCTGGACGTCTCCAAGGCGTTCGACAATGTCAAGTATGAAGCCTTACTTAAGAACCTTAGTGCGCTAAACGTAGGCGTCAAGACATACAACTACGTGAGGGGCTTTATCTCAAATCGTACAGCCACTATCAGCATGGGAGGGCAGTCGCTCGAAAACATTAAATTGGGGAATAAAGGGACGCCACAAGGGTCTGTACTCTCTCCGACTCTTTTTAATATAGCAATGATTAGACTTCCTGAGAAGTTGGAAGGAATCAAAAATCTGCATCACACAATATACGCAGACGTTGTGACGCTGTGGATAAACAGGGGTAGTGACGTACATATTGAAAGCGCACTTCAGGCGGCTATAGATACTATCGAACAATATCTGGAACCACTAGGGTTAAGATGATTGGCAGAAAAATTAGAGGCTCTTTTTATACCATCGCAAAAAAGGAAAACAAACAATCCCCTCGGAAGGGGTTGTGACATCGCTTTGCGAGTGAATGGTAATGCTATTCCAACCGTAGACAGTATTAGAATTCTAGGGATGCGCATACAAGCAAATGGAAAAAACACTGAAACTATCCGGAGACTCGAAGCTAGTGCGAACCAGACATGCCGCCTGCTTAAGCGCATTTCTAACAAGAATGCGGGGATGAAGGAAGCCAGTCATTTAAGATTAGTTCAAGCTTTCGTGATAAGCCGTGTACTATGCGTTGCCCCTTATCTTAAATTAAGTAGAGCAGAAAAATGATAAAATTGAAGCCATTATAAGGAAACATCAAGACTGCACTAAGGCTTCCCCCGAACACCTCTACGGTTAAACTTCTTGGGCTTAGTGTCTCCAACCCTTTAGATGAACTAAAAGAAGTCGCCATGATGTCACAGCACCAAAGACTTCTGAGAAGTAGAACCAGGAGGAAAATCATGGAGCGCTTGGGGTTCGAGCCCATGGAGTGTCCCAGGCAGACCGCTAGCATACCTAAATCAACTAGGGCAAGACTGAAAATTATACCGCTGCGAAAAACATGCATCCGGCGTTTCATGAAGGCAAACGCAAAGCTAGAGCTGTAGCCCGGCAGGCAAAACATGAAGGTCGACCTGGCGTGCTTTACACGGACGCTGCAGAATACAAAAGAAAGGGAGCACACACAGCGGTAGTGGTTCGCGAGAACGGGGACCTGGTCTCGTGCTGCACCTCTAAGAATACAACCACCACAGAAGCAGAAGAACTTGCGATTGCTTTGGCAATAGCTCAAAAAGGCACACGAGTGATTGTTAGTGACTCAAAGTCAGCCATTGAAAACTACAATATCGGCAGGATCCCTGCTACAGTCGCTAAAATTCTAAGACGAGGACTAGTACCCGCAGAGCTAATCTCACTAGTATGGTCCCCGGCCCATCAAGGTCTGAAGGGGAATGAGAAGGCGCACGTGATCGCCCGAGGGCTCACTTTCCGGTCGATCGACGCTGACCCGCCGCCTTCGCGCGAGCAGCCCCTCTCTACAAGAGACGAACTACGAACGTTTCAGGAAATCACCGCACACTATAAATTCCACCGTAACATTTATCCAGAGGCAGCTAAACAGCTGAGCAAAAAGGAGGAAATTATGTGGCGAAAATTGCAAACCGGGGTGTTTCCAAACCCTCACCTGTACAGTAAATAGCACCCGGAAGTGTTCAACTCCAGATATGCGCACTGCAACAGCACTGCGGGTTTAGTGCACATGGTATGGACCTACCTTACAATGACCCAAGTAGAAACGTAGAATCCTGGGAGGCCTTATTACACAGCCGTGACGCTGAAGAACAGCGTCAAGTCATCGGTCTCGCCCTGACCGCCGCCGAGTCGCAAGGGATTCCGGCCGATGGCTAGGGGGATGATTCGGGGCAGAGGCCGAAGCCTCCTCCCCCGTCATTCTAGACGGGTGCAATAAACGTTATTTCTCTCTCTCTCTCTCTCACAGCTGCTCAGGCTTTCCAGAATCAGGTAGGGTGCAAGATACTCAACGACTTGGGCCTCAGCTCTGTTGACCAGTGCACCGATTCCGCACTGATTCTCAGAGATATCAGGTACCAACCGCACATCACACCCATTCCCCGCAGTATGCACACTGCGCACAACGTCGGTCGACAGTGAGGCCAGGGGTGAAGGTCGCTCGAGCATGTTCATAGTATAAGTGAGCACACTGATGCAAGCTTCGTGGATGCTGCGCCATAAGTCCTACAAGAGACCTTCGCTATTTCCAATGTCGACTCGAATTCCAGGCTCACTTACTTCGCCACGGTACGCACATCGAAGCTCGTGGTAACCAAACAGATTGCAGTCACACTGGCTGTGCTAGATAGTCACAGGGAGTCAATGTAAACGACTCCAAGGCGGCTATCAAGGCCTACAACTACGGGATCGTCGCCCCTCAGGCCCTTCGCATTCTTCGAAGCGTCAAGAGTATCAAACGGCATTCTCTCACCTGGGGTTGATTTAGGGCTTTACCTCCAACCCTAAAGAGGGCACACACGCGAGGACTCACTGACCGCGCCACCTACGCAGTCCCCGTGCCTGGCAGGGGGCCCTTGCTTACTTCAAACGAAAAAACAAATTCACAGCATGAGTGTTGATGAGGGGGGCGAAGCGTTCGTTCTTGTTTCTTTCCGTCGGTGCGTCTATCCGTCCGTCCGTTCTCACGTCTCGTCGGTATTATCCGCGCCGTTTGTATGCTCGAACGCGATCGGTGTTTTTGACTCACACCTCAACGGCGTCGCTGGTCTTCCACTGCCGACGTTTGCGTTAGGCTTCTGGCTCGCGCCTCTTCGGTGTTGACGTCACCATTCGCGAACGCGAACGCGAACCCTTTCAACGCCGGCGATAGCCGGGAAAGGTGCACGCACACTAGCGGGAAGCATGCCGCGACGACGTCTCGCCCGTCGGCACGATCGCGCGGCAAGCAGCGGCACGCTGTCCACACTGTCGGCGCCACGAGAGTCTCGAGGTGCGCCGAGCGCACGCACCCGCCGGTTCGCAGCGGCTTCTCGACGACAGAGGGACAGAGGTGGCGGATGAGATGATGTCCACGTGAGAGTGGGCTCGAGCATAGCGAGCGGTGGAGAGGGCTAATTAAGAGAGACGACACGCTGCGAGCGGCGACAGGCTTAGGAGAGAGTGACATCAACGCGTGCGCACAGCGAAGGAAGGCGTAAACTACTTGGCACCGCCTCAACACCTGCTGCCAGGGGAGCACGGTGCGGACGGAGGGACAGCGGTACACAGGCTAGTTAAAGAACTCCTTCGCATCTAATAACGAAACACTTCTGTCTGTCGAGACGGGTATTCCTCCTCGCACACCCTGCCTTGTGCAGGGCGCTGGCAGTTACCCTATATAAGACTATTGCCAGTGCGTACCATAACCCTGCGTTTCTTCATGCTATATAACCTTAACGGTATACCAGTGCGGACCGCCCTCCGTGTGGACTATTAGCAACATTCAACCATATGTTGTGGGAATGTGAATACATCGACTCCTCCTTCAGCGAGAACAGGTGGGCTGCGCTGTTGCGCAGCCGCGAACTCAACGATCTAACCCTGGCCGTTCATGCAGAGTACCTGCGAACGGGCCACCAAGCTCGGCTCGGCGGTCTTTAAGTGGGGCTAGCCAGTAGCGCGGAGTCTCACCTGCATCTTCTCCACACCAAAACAGTTTTCATCACCATCATCGTCACTTCGCTACCGGAAGTGAGGTTTCATCACAAATTAACACGAAATCCTACATCAGTCATGTGTGCCTCAGCCGTGAAAAAGGCCTTTTCGGAAACATTGCATGTGATCGGAGCTTATCAAGAAGTGCACCGAAATATAGCCATTGAGGCACCCTATAAAGCACTGCCGCTGAGCGTGCTACGAGTGAAGTCGCTGCATGGAACACTGTATTCATCTTTTGCGCTTTACAGCAGCTCACAAAAACGCTGCCTGTATGCCGGCACGTATCACTCCGTCGGCAAGTGGGGTAGGAAAGGTAACGGAACGTGAAAGCATGCGGCACAAGAGTCGCCTGACTGCAACACGTGATTGCTGCAGCCGAAACAGAGCTCCTCAACGCGCGTGTATACCTCCTCAACGCGCGTGTATACCTGCACAGAGCCGTTGGGTCCATGGTGCCCTTTCCCCGCGCGTCGATGAACACCAGGTGCGGGCGCTCGTTGAAAAAATTCTCGATGGCTTCCTCAGTTGTCGTGCTCAGGCTGCACGCGTAGTGCATCTTCTCGGCGGCCCACGTGAGCGCTTCGTACTGCGCGTCCTCTTTGGTGAACACAAACATGACCTGCAGTGCGCCAATTCGGATTTCAGTGTAAAAGCGCCGCAGGGCAAGACATTTAATCGACAGAAACCAAAGCGTTTGAGAACAGTGAATTTGGTACAGTCTTATTATTAGAGCATTAAGGATTGCAAGTATATAAGAAAGACGAATCACAGAGCATATAGGCATATAGTCTATGACATTAGAAGAAAAGAGCGCCAAACCACATGCGGAAAGCTTATGCTCCGAGCTCTGCACCCATCTAAGCGCATGTAGAACAGATCTCATTCGGATAAATGAAGAGAATTTTCGAAGGCTCGTTTTTTTTTCAATTTAAAACCACCTTTCAGTGAAAAACAGCACATAATGAAGCCAAGGAGGGCACACGGCACATTCGTTGTACCGTTTCGTGAAAGCGTACCGAAGTAATTGATTTCTGTAGTTGTGAAGAAAGAAAAACGAACGAAGAAATAACTGGCCGCTAGCAGGGACCAATTGTGCGACCTTCGGATTCTAATGCCGCAGGTTTGGTCACCGCGAGCGGTAATTAAGCTAGTTATTTACTTACTCGTTTACTTGCTGTCTCTTTATCCCGTACCTTTCACTTTCCTCGCAGCTATATCACAATTATTTCAACCCGCTTAAAAACAGTAGAATTAATGTTGCCATTGCCTTCCTTGGTTTCATTATATGCTGCTCATATCCAGCTTTCCTGGACACTTAGGGAGCTCTACCGCCTGCCCTTATACGCACTCCTGAGCAGAGATTGTGTGAGGCTTAGAGGTGTAAGGCCTAAAGATGGGAATGCAGCAAAATATTTTTTTAACATGAAAGGGTAAAATATTTCGGCCATGCTTTCGTTCTTTTTGCTGTTAATGAGAGGTGAAAGCTTGGCAGTATAACGCTCCGACTGAATGCAGAACCGCATTCATTTGAACTGCGGTTTGATTACGGACACCCTGACACAAAGCTCGTGAGAGGGGGGGGGGGCGGTGCTCTAAAGAAAAGCACAGTATTTTTGTCGCAGTATCTAAGTACATTGCTACACTATTCGAGCTACAGCGATAGCATGCCATGGTTTGCAAAACTTGTACCACTGCACGCAAACCTAATCTGGACACAACCTTTGAATGAGTGATCACTTTGCCTTTTTGCGTGCTATAAAGGTACTTCGATCATTTTCAGGCTGAAAATATTGCTTTCACGTGTCACTCTATTGAGAGTTTCGTTTCTTAAAACTTGTATAGCATACTGATGGAGAGCGCTCATTTTTCCGACCAATTTAGCTCCTTTCAGCGTAGGTCATAATGTTTACACTACTGTTTAAAAAATGTAAATAGTTTCACCCACGTTTCGCTAAGTTGGATTGCCGATTTGTTTAATTGGTTTCAGCAAAGAAACGAGACTATTAAACTACCATTCACCTTTGGTCGTACTCATTAGCTTGGAAGCAAGTCAACTTCTTTCCCAAGAAATTTTGAAGTGGTGCTTCAAAGCCTTGATGAAGGACCTCATCGTGACGTTTCTTGTATTTATTATCAAGTATTCGCAAGCTCTCTCATGGTGAATCATGTTGGTGCATTAATACAGGACGTCTGCAATGTCAAAGAGATATTTGGCCGAAACCTAGGACAAGGAAGGCGGCCAATCGCACAGGCATCTCGAAGAGAGCATCCACAATTTGCCATAAGTGTTCCTGCGAAGAATTTGTGTAAATAAAAATGTTTTAGATCCATGTACCTGTGACGTGAGCTTCATCGATTCTCCTATAGTTCATAGTATATATGAACTACAATGGCTGCTACTGTTACGAAGGCGCGACGTCAACACAATCCCGAAGGCGCCACTGCTCCGAACTCCGCCGCTAAGGTCACCAGCCGTTTGGTAGCGTGTGTTACTCAGCTGGCGACTGCTTCTGCGCAGAGCTGATAGACGAGCAGACGAGATGATGGTGAGTTAAAGCAAGGTTTATGTACAGCATAAAAATAGAGGCATTACAACTTCGGCACTGGGGCCGACAACTTAGGGACTCGAAGAGCCGAGATATCTACTCTCGCACGCATCCGTCGGCTTCTCTCTAACGCAAAGGTACTGCTGGCGACGCGCCGCTTGGCTTTTCTCATAGGCACCGGGTGGATCTTTGCGCCACCAGCATCCAACCAGAAGCACCACTGGCGGTGATGTCAGAATCCTCCAACGGGGACCCGCCGCTGCGCGTGGTTGTACCCAAGGACGAGCGATGTTGTCGCGCATTGCGTAAGACTCGCCAGACTAGAAGGCACCGATTGCTTCATCGGGCTCGTGTGCTGAGGGAGCTCGCTGTGCATTGCGTGACAGACCGGCGCCGCCGCTTGATGACGTCGTTGAGTTGATCGCGTCAGGCGGGCTCGAGCGCTGGACTTGACACAGATTGCCTCTGCAGAGGCATTGACGTTCGGTGTGGACTCCCAAGCGTAACAGCACCCCCGCCGCCAGAGAATGCGCCGGAAAAACGAGCTGCTTCCACGTAGGTTCGAATGTCGGGCGCTCTCGTTCGCCAGCTCCCTCCAGGTTTGCCTCCAGGGCCACGGGGAGAACGTAGCTCTAGGCTCAGTTCCGTGAACGCATCCCCTTCTTGAGGACGGATCCCAGCTCTACTGGCTTGTCGCCCCAACTTGCCGGCCAGCTTCGCTCGTCTCTTCTAACGATTTTTGGTCTCAGCACTTGTCGATGTTTCTGCAATTTGTCAAGAACGGTTCGGCAACAGGCAACACACGACACAAGCAAGTGCCCTCGGTTACCCGACAGAACACCAGACAAAGTGTGGTACAACATATACCTAGCAATGTGTCTATTGGAATTTCGTTCCCTCTACATCAAAAGGCACATGTGGAACACAATACTCTTAAAAGGAGAACTCAAATTTTTACACGTACAACAAGGTAAGGAAATAGAATGTAACAAAAAGTTGGCCACTTGAGATCACTCTGGACGAGAGCGGTCAGCTAAAGCCGTGATGAGGACAAAATTCTGCCCCAATGTAAATGCACGGCTCAATGCGACTGCATTAGCGTTTAGCTTTTCTTTTTTTGTGGCGAACGTCAAAGTTCTGCTGTTGGAGTATAATGCTTCACCTCAGTAACCGGCCACTTTTAGGCGACATGTTATTTAACCAGGTTAGAGGACAGTGGTCCGTTTCGACCACAAACCTCGAACCGGAGACATAACAGGCTAACTTTTGAACGGCCCACACGAGGCAAGCGCATTCCTTTTCAGAGGTACTGCATGTCTCTTCCCTGTAGCTAAGTTTTCGACTTAAATACAAAACTGGCCTTTCGTTAACAGCACTGTCTTCCTAGCCCAATATCGCTCCCATTCCGCGATCACTCGCGTCGCATTGAATGACAAATCTCTTAGAGAAATCGGGTGCCATCAGAACGGGCTTTTCGCTTAAGGCTTGTTTCCGCTTGCAAAATGCATTCTCCATTTCTAAGTCCCATACTACTTTAACGGGCTCGGACTTTCAAAGTGCGCCAGTTAGAGGGCTGGCAATGCTAGAGTAGTTTTGAACGTAATGCTGGTAGTATCCAGCTAGGCCCAAGAATGCTTATATCTCAGATTTTGTGGTTGGTCGTGAATAGTTCACGACGGCGGCTACCTTAATTTCTGAAGGTCTGCGCCGGCCACGCCCCATCACGTGTCCCAGGTAAGACACCTCGCCGCACCCTAGGTGGCATTTAGTAGGTTTCACGGTAAGAGCAGCTTCTTTCAACCTGCTCAGCACGACGCGTAAATGCTCGGCATGTTCTTCCCAGTTGTTGGAGAAGATGGCCGTATTGTCAAGGTACGGCAGAGCGAACTCAGAGGGGCCTTCAAGAACGCGGTTCATTAAGCCTGAAAACCAAAAGGGCGTATTTTTCAATCTGAAGCTCAGCTTAAGTGGACGATACGTTCCGAGTTGAGAAACGAATGTGGCAATGCGGCTAGCGCGCTTCGTTAGGGGGACTTGCCAATACCCTCACACGAGGTCTAACGTGGAAATATAGCTAGACTGCGACACAGTTTCTACCCTCTACTCTAGGTTTGGTATCGTTTAAGTTTGATCTCGATTTATGGCGTTAAGACGCCAACAATGAATACATGGCCTCGGATCTTTTCCCGGCACTTGAAACCAATATTAGAGGGGATGTATAGTCACTCTCGCCCGGCACTATGACTCCCAACACCAGCATTTTATCGATGTCCTCTTTCATGATCTGCTTTTGCACAGGGGAACATCGATACGGCTTGCTACGGTTTAGCTCCTCACCAGTTAGCTCGATATCGTGTTCATTCACCATCGTGTTTCCGGGACGGTCTGAAAACGCGTCTTTAAACTCGGAAACAATCCTCTCAGGTCCTCCTGCTGGACTTCACTTAACCTAGGCCCTACGTTCAACTGCTCCAAGATTACCTCCGATTCCCTTTCGATTACATCACTAGCGGTCAAAATTTCTGCTCCATCTTCCTCTGAAGGATTAAAAAGCAGATTTACGACCACTTGACGTTGAACGTATGGTTTCATCAAGTTACTGTGGTAAATTTTGTTTGGCCGCCTTCCTAATGTCATTTCATAATTGGTATCAGAAAGCTTCGATATTACTTTGGCGGGCCCTTCCCAATGAACATCAATCTTGTTCTTTTTGGACGGCCGCAGCAGCATTACCTGACTACCTACTTCAAAGGTGCGCTTCTTCGCCGATTTGTCGTAGTACTCCTTCGACATCAGTTGTGCAGCCTTCATGTGGCTTTCCACAAGAACTTTCGTTTTTTCAAGCCTCTGAAGGAGGTCTAGAACATACGCAACTACATTAGGGTCCTCATCGAATCCCTCCCAGGACTCGCGTAGCATTCGCAATGGTGTTCTCAAACTCCTGTCATATACAAGCTCTGCAGGGCTAAAACCAGTGCTCTCATGAGGAGCTGATCTCAAAGCGAACATAGCGGGGAGAATACACGCTTTCCAGTCACATTTGTGCTTGTAGCAAAGAGCTCTCAGTATCCGTTTCAGAACGGAATGCATACGCTCTACCGGATTAGATTGCGGGTGATGGATCGAGCTGTGCACTACTTTTATTCCACATTTATCCAAAAAGGTAGAGGAAAGGCAGCTGAAGAAGGCACTACCGTTCTCGCATTAGATTTCAGAAGGAAATCCGACGCGTGCAAAT